TATTTACCAGCTGTTCCTTGTTCTCGTTCGTGCTGGGCTTGCTTCTGTATAAGTACTTGAGTATACCCGATGGTTTGTCTGAAGAGGAAGAAGATGATGACGAATTCGCGCTCGCGGTGCCAGCCTGGCTTAAATTCTGCCGCTTATTGTCGCGATCGCATTGGGAATACTCTGCGTACGCAGGTTCGTCGGGTAAACGTGTATAAGCGACGTAATGACCGGCGGTCATCGTTGCACCTTGGTGCATTATAACCGAATATAATTTGTACACGTGTCGCGTCTCCGTGCTACTACCAGCTGTCGTCCCATGGGTCTCATCATTACTGCACTCCTCGCAGAAGCATTGCAAAGTAAGTGGCGTTGGCATGTGATTATTGATTTTCTCCATCGAACTGAAAACATAAATTCGATTGCAATCGCGATGCAAAATATTGCAAAAGTTTTTCAATATAATAAATGTAAGAACTCAAAAGCAAAATTACATGTGCAATAAGCTCCTTAATGAAAATTAATTAGCAAAATATTTTTATGTAATTTTAATACAACTGCTACTTTTATGATTGTTATAAATGTTAAAATATGCAAATATTTTTCGATATCTTTTATAAACTTTGAGCTATACTTTTCAGTTATTTATTGTTTCTAATTGTGCTGAAAGATCGTACAAGACTTACCCAGCAGCTGTAGAAAACCTCTTCAACTGCAAGATAAGGAGTCTGGGTAAGGAAGGAAAACATACGGCTCTACGAGCTTCATTATACCGTAGGCACCGTGCACACCAGTACTTATCCCTACCCCAAAGCAATTCACTAGTCACTACAGCACGTTTGTATACTTCACTGCTATCCACCAATTCACCATCATGATCTAAAACGAAAAGTCACGTTACTATGAATCGCAGATTAATTATGGAATGTATAAAATATTTAAGCTAGGTTGTTCCATCTATCGAAAAAAAATTTCAGCTCACTCTCTTCTTTTATATTCTCTTACTCTTTTGTCTATCCATTAGATAAATTATTACCCAGTTTATCCAAAGATGAAACAGCGGGTCCTAAAGCTTTAAATCTTAAAGAGTCCGCGCAATCAAAAGAATAGGGAATAGAGAATAAAAAATAGAAGGTCGATTGTGTGTTTTGAAACGAGGTAAAAGTTATAAAAGTGAATTTATTAGAATATTTGTAATTTCATTGGTCAACAGACTTAGTAAATCTTACTTTTGACCTTGCTTCAAGATACATAATTGACCCTCTGTTCTGTTCCCCCCCATTCTCTATTCCTTTGATTATATAAAGTACTTTATACAAACATAGAAGAACATGTCGCACGAACTTAAACAATATTATTAATAATAGCACATCCTTTTGATCTCACATGTACTGCAAACAAAAATTAATTAAGTGCATACCTTTCTCATTCGAACGATCGATGTCAATGGGAACGCATATATCGCAAAATGTCTCCTTCCTTTCCGTCACGTGTTCGCATTCGAGACATGTTGTGCGCAATAGGCTGACACCTTCAAAATCCTCTGAGATAAAACATTTCTTGCTTTCCGGCTTACGCATTCCAATCTCGCCATTACTTTCGACAAACTCTGCGTGACCATTCTCATACAGTCTCGCAGATCCTACGACGCCGTTTGTATTTGGCTGCGCAAGAGATACCGAACTCCCTCTGCTCGTAATCTTCTTCTTCTTTCTGGACTTACGAATGCTTCTCTTCCCGGAACTGCTGCTCTCTGACTGTGTGTCTGTTGACGAGTGATTTGCGGTAAATTCAGGAAAACCACCATTGCTTTGACCAAATTGGCTCTCCCTATATCTGACCAATAATTGAAAAGTCTCCCTAATGTTATCAAGCAAACAAACTAACAGCTCATGAGCATCTTGCTGCTGATTTCCTTCGAATATTGGATTTACTTCTCTATAATAAAATCAGTGCAAAAGCAATGTAAACACGAAACACAACATTTTTACAACATTTTGGCATCAGCATACATACCTAAGAGCTTGTAAAAAGGCATCCGGTTGATACGGTTCGCTATTTTCTCTTACTTCCGATGCTCGTAGTGCCATAAAGAGCTCGTGTAATCTTTCAGTGGCTATTTGAATACGTGGTTTATTGGCTTCTGATGTTGATCCAGCTAATGCCAATAGATCTTTACTGCTCCAACTACGACTACTGCTCGATGTTAGCGATACACCAGTTCTACCTAATGAAGAAGATTTAGCCTACAAAAAAATATTGATAATTTAAAACTTGGATTAACACGTATGCATATACATAAACAAAAAAACAAATTCGTTTTAGATCAAATTAATCTATATAAAGACGTTTCACCATTCCAACAAGCAGCATAATATAAAGGAAACGGCCTGAAGGAACAGCTCAGTATCAGGCTGCTCCTCGCCCTGATAAAGTGGACTGTAAGGTTTACAAAACGTTGGCATTCTAAGAATGAATCTGGACACGGAGAAAACCCACAAAACGCATAGTCTTTATATAGAAAGCACCCATGGAAGCTTCAAAAATATTAATAAATTAATCTGTTTATTTAGTACTTACTTTTGTCTGAAGTTGCTTGTCATTTAGGTTAGACAAGTCAGTGGCTAGATGATGTAAATTGTGCAGAAAGGAAGGCGCGAATCTTAAAGTATATAATACACTATTGAGGAAACAGGTATTTCCTAAATTGCATAAGGTGGCTATCTTCAATCCTTCCGAATTGGTACCAGACATGTCGTAATTTCCATCCTGATGATTGCTCAGCTGATTTCGATAGCCATTCAACATTTTGCTTGTACCTTTACAGAATCAAGTATAATCAAAGATATATGTTTCAAGAAAATTATATGTCATCTAATAAAAATACCAACTAACAATAACATAATATCAATATTACAATTTTACTCAGCAATAAATGTAACATATGTTATACCTAATAGTTACATTGTTGGGTATGAAATTATAATATTGATGTTATGCTATCGTTGCTTCATATTTATCAAGCAATTATCAATGCAACAACCTAGTAAACATCAACTAATGCTAATATAATGCCAACGTTGTGATTTCACACTTGATAATATAAATAGAATAGCATATGTTATAGATAACAGTTACATTCTATACAGTATCCGAGAAACATAGAAATGTTAAAATGTAGGAACGTATTTAGAACAATTGTGCTATATAGATTGTTAAGTGAAATTATAATATTGATGTTACGTCACTGTTACTTTGTATTAACTGGGCAATTATAAATAAGATATCATTAATAAATAAGAATAAATGAGAAGCATACATACTGAATGAAAAATCTGTTCTATCCAGAAGGCCCCCTCTTGTGGATGTAGGAGGGGGCTGCGGGACGACGATGGGAATTGCACGTCCGCGGCCCGACAGGGACAAGCAGAACTTCTTTCTAGGAGGAACCGAGCGTTTATCTGCGTCTTCCTCCGTTTCTAATACTGTCATCTTCTGTTAACCTAAAACCATGTTACCATATCCTATATTTCCCGTTTCATCAAACAGACGGACGTGGAATGCGTTTCACGTGCACGAACTTCCCCCCGTCTGTCCAGCCGCGCATACGCGCGTGGAGAATTCTGGAGAATTCTCGGTTTTACGTGAACTTGGAAACGATCGGTCGATCGCGTCTCAACGCGGAGTCGCGTCGCGTCGCGAGGCGAAATGTCAAAGTGCGTTTTACTCACGTGTGATCGAGTGGAGAAGTCATGGAACGCGAACGGGCTCGTTTGTTATAACGTTGCTAATGCGAGCCGGTTCCTACGCTAAGAGAATCAGAGGAAACGACTACCCGAAAACTCGTCGCAATAAGCTACATGATCCGCGAAAGTCTAAACTCCGAACCAGCGTCCCGAATTGGCGAATCCGCCTCGGGCTCACGGCGCTCACGCCGCTCGCTGGCTCATCCCCGTCAACTCTACGAGACGGAGACTCACGGAGACGGAGACAACTTCACGCGACGCAACAACTAGATCAGTCAGGGGCTCTATTCTTGAAAAGAAACGTATACGAAAGTCTAGGGAAGTGCTACAGTATACGTAACGTATACTATAGTATTTCCCTAGACTTTCGTATACGTTTCTTTTCAAGAATAGAGCCCCAGGGGCTTGAAGATTGAAAGTCTAGAAAAAAAGTATCGTCACCGAATGGAAAATATACGTGTATACGGTAGAGTCCTAGATTTATCAGAGAGTCGCAACCGGTGTTATGCATTCTGATTCGCTGTTGCAATCTGACCAATTGCGTGACTTGGCAGCCATTTATAGTACTGGGGACATATTTCTATTCCATTTTATCGTTTGACATAGTTTAAAGGCAGTTTCATAGCATGTCGGCCATGTTTAGTACTCTCCTTAGCACCTTTGTCATACTGACTTAAGCCGGTTGCGCCTCTCTGATAAATCTAGGACTCTAGTATACAGGTGCTTTGCGAAGACCGGGACTGTCAACAGAGCCGACAGTCCATGTAGCAGTAGTTGCGCGGTCTTGCGATAGATGGTGCTGGCATATGTTAGATAAGAACAGATGTATGAGTTCGAGTACGACAGGATGATATATATTTCATAATATAATGTAAAAACTGAATGAAAGGTGTCACCACTATTATCGAATTTGGAATTAAAAAAGTACTATCGACCTTGATCGAGTTGGGTAATCGGTTTAGCATCCACGGATCTGTTGGAAAGATTTGAAAAAGGATTTGAAAAAGCCGCGTTTTCATGGGCATTTCGAAGCAGTCACGTGATATCGGGGCCGTGCGCGATATGGATGCGCGATCGGCACGGAAACGACAAACTGCGACAAACGAGGAGACGGCGAGGAACGGTAGCGCGTGCGCCGGAAGATTCCGGCTCGTGAGGTGCATCATTTCTGGCCAATGAAAATCCGGCGTTCCGGGTTTCGTATCTTCAACACCGGTGTTCACCGGCGCTCAGGTGCTTCCGGTACCGAGCAGACCGATGCGCCCGTCTGCGTCTCTACACGACGCCTTCGTGCGTGTATTCGTGTGTCGCCAGTTCCTCTGGCGGTGCTCTGCCTCTGCGCGCATTTGCTGACACAGTGCCGTCGATACCACTACACAGTACAAGTATAAGCCGCGTAAACGACGATAGATACGAGAAATCGCGAACTGTTTTTATAATTAATACCACGAACTTACGCCACTTGCGGGCTCTGTGTCTGTGGCGTTCGCTCGATCGCTCGAGGCATCACCGACCCTCGTAAAATCGTTCGCGACACCGTCGGCTTCCCGCGCGATAAGCAACCGCTGCCGGTCGTACCGAGGTGCCCCCCCGATAGCTGCGTCCCCGCTGTGTGCCGCACGCGAGACCGCCTGAAATCAGGTAAGTCCACCCCCCCACGCTAAACGCTCTACGATCATTGCGATCATTGCGATCGCCGAGGCCATCGTCGCGGTGATCGCTCGCTCCATCGCTCCCTCGTGCTCGATGCGAGGGGAGACGCACGCCTCCAACGCCAACGCTGGAATCGAGCGTCACTCCGAGACCGTGCCCGTCGGCTATCTCAGCCACGCCGTCGCGATCCGCTCCGTCCGACGGACTCTCGACAGTCTCGACGTCGCGTCTCGTCCGCGTTGGCGTGTTCCCGTGCGCGGTACGGGTCGTCGGGAAACATCGCCATGCTTGCGCGAGCGACCGGGCGCGACCGCGCGCCTCTCTCTCTCTCTCTCTCTCTCTCTCTCTCTCTCTCTCTTTATCTCCCTCTCCCATCGCATCCGCGCTCTCATCGGCGTGCTCTCTCTCTCTCTGTCTCTCTCTCGCGCGCCTCTCACGATTCTCCTCCTCGTCCCTTTTTTGTTTCATCCTGCTCCACGAACTCCCGGATGGGGATACGTGAGGAAATGGACTCTCCGTTCGGGGTTGAGAAACACGTGCTTCGCAGGATACGCCGAGTATCCTCAGCGCGGTTTAGGATCAAGGTATGAAGAGAGACAAAGAGATCTCGAGGGTCGGGGAGGGGGATGGAAGGGGGAGAGGAGAGGAAGAGAGGTGGTGGCATGCGAAAATTTTGCCATGCGCTTCGCTGAGCTACGCGCGTCGCCAATCCCTTTGTGTTTGCCGCATGTAGGTATCGTTCCGATTATTTGCGCGCTGCGTAACGAGATGGGATTTTCGGGAGGGCTCGGGGGGTCCCCCCCCCCCCCGCCGTCCCATGGATTTTACATGCAAGGGAAAATGCAACCTCGTGTATACCTGGAATTCGGAGAACTAAAAGATTCTGGATGGGTCATCGCGTGAAAATCACCGTAATATTTTTCCACGTGGAAAATAATTTAGCGGAGTAGTACAGGCATTGAATAAATCAGCCAGTAATTTAAATCCGATTAGAAATAGAATCATAAAATATTCATGAGTTATAAAATATAGTACGTTTATATAGAGCATTGACTATGTCTATATAATGAACGTGTGCGTGCGTTTAATATATTCTTGAAATATCTGCGACGACAATGCCTCAAACAATGAAATTTGATTTCTTTCGTTTTAACAATATTCATTTTTATATCGCTAAATTACACATATGATTAATTACATTTTTAAACAAATTTTATGAATTTATTTCTCATAATTGGTATGCATCATGAAAGATATTTATATTTGATTATTCGTTATAATAAGAATGCCATGTGTTTTCCAAGAAATATTATTCACTTAATACATGTTCTGCGAGAAATATATTATTAATTTAATAAACATAAATTTAATTGCATTTTAAAATAAATATTTTATATTTAATATTATACAATACTTCTGATTTGTTTAATTAAATATTGTACTGAAACATAAAAAGACTTTATAATATATTTGAATATTATAAATTATACTTAAAAATATATTAAAAAATGCCGTGTTCACAAATCTAATAAATTTCTTTTTAATCCACAACTTTATGTTATAATTATACCGCGATGCTCTCTCTCTAATAAAAATGTATTTTTCTTTGTTTCAGATATCTGCCTTAATAATTTTAAGATTTTACATTTGAACATTTAGTTTGCTGTTTCCAGCGAAAAAATATTCTAGAAGCTAAAAAGTAAGAAGATGGTCATGGAGGCATCTCCCTCTCCACAAAGTGTCGGTCGTGAGTTCGTCCGACAGTATTATACATTGCTGAATCAGGCGCCTGCCCATCTCCACAGGTAATATGTTGTCTAAGCTATATTTTTCCAATTTAATTTATGCCGTAGATTTTTTGTCTGTTGTAACAAGTTCAAATTTTATTCAAGGAATAACAATAATTTAATAATAGTAAACAAACATTGGTGTCTTTCAACTGTTGCACATAAGTCTCCTCTAACGTTTTCCTTCAAAATATTTAAAGTTTTTATGACTATATAAAACGTGTCGCAATAAACACGTGTGTTTAGGGAATTTGTTTTTTAACCTCTTATGACTCTAATCATATATGGAGTAATATATTAGCACCCTAAAGTGCTATAACTTTCCCATAACAATCGGAATTTTGGAAAACGGAATCTCGAAAAAATAATAAGACCAATCATAATCATTCGTTTGTACAACGCGCTAAATTTAAATGATTGATTGGTCGTATGACTTCTGAAATTCTGTTTTCCGAAATTCCGACTGTCGTGGAGAAGCACCCTAAAGATCAGAATCGAACCCGGAATCTGCCAACTATAGGTCTATTCGCGTTGCTTGAAATCACAAAAACTTTAAATGAGATAAATATATATTCGATTGTTGAGAGAGAAAGCCAAGATCCTGAACGCAAAAAGTGCAAGCAATGCGAATAAATGTTTTAAGTCAGTTGCTCCGGAGCAACGCGTTATTCTCTGCAGGAATATTTTTTAAACGCCGCAATAATTATTGTAAATTTTACTATTAGGTTCTACAATCAGCATTCTTCCTTCGTGCACGGCGGATTGGATTCTAATCGAGAGTGTACCCCGGCGATCGGTCAAAAACAAATACATCAAAAGATTCAACAACTGAACTTTCGCGATTGCCATGCCAAAATAAGCCAAGTTGATTCTCAGCTTACTCTTGAAAATGGAGTTGTTGTCCAGGTAAATTACATTAACTTTATGTAAGATGAGAATTTAACATAACCACCAGAAATTATATGATTACAATTGTATTTTATTTCTTAATAGAATATAATAGCAGAAATTTAATATATTGCATATATTATCTTCACAAAGCATCATTAATTTTTTAACATAACTCACTTATTAAATAATATTTATATAGCCTTTAATTTACTTAAAATATATTTTTATGAAATCTAGCACTTGATGTTGATGATTTTAATAAACATAATTATTATATGTAATTACATATTCATTGTTTTATTGTCATGTAGGTATCTGGAGAACTGTCTAATGCCGGGCAACCAATGCGTCGATTTACTCAGACTTTCGTATTGGCTGTGCAAGCACCCAAAACTTACTACGTGCACAATGATATCTTCCGTTATCAAGACTTGATATTCCCCGATGAAGATGAGGCTGACGTGAGTGCTGGGGATAGTGGTGAGAGCGGCGAAAGAGAAGTGGAGGAAATTGGTCGATCTGAACCTGAAGAAGATGAACATCAAACTCAGGCGCAGCAACTGTCGGCTCCTGCTCAAGCTGCTGAGCAGCAAGCTCAACCGCCTCTCATTCCGACTCAGCAACCTCCGTTGCAACAACAGCAGCCGATGTATTACGCTGCGCCACCCCAACCACACGTTAGTATAACAAACATAAAGACGTAAAAGGAAGTCAGATGGTATCGGACAGTTTATGCTTTTCCGAGATTTCATTTTTTTGGACGACAAAAATTACGTATAGTATACATAAAAGTATATGAAACGTTACTCTTGTACCAAACACCCTTATAATTGTTTTTTTCTTAATGTAGAAGTACCTAATTTTTACATTTTTTAAATATCATTATATTTTCTTGGTTTTCTTGTAAATTGGAAGATGGCATTGAACAGAAATATTTATTAAAAAAAATAAAACTTTTATTGAAAAGTCCCTATAGTATTATCTGTGCATGGTTTTAATGCTGTCTCTTGTTTCAGTAGCTTTTAATCTATCTCCCCCAATATACTTTTCGGAACAGACTATTGCTTTCTCGCTTCTATTATCATCTTTTCTCTTACTTACCTTATCTTTTGCTTTCTTAACAACTTACGTTTTCTTCTTTCCTTTGCCTCATATCTTCTCCATATTCACCTATAACAAAACACAGTTTGTCAAAGGCAAATCTAAGGCTGTCTAATATTACCTAAATTACGTACACTGAAAAAACAACTTATAGAACGAAATAAAACAAGAAACATTTTAAATACACAATTTAAAGACTATATGTTTATATTATGAATCAAAAATGAAATTTGACTTACAATGTGATAATGTGACCGATTGCTAAAGTTAACTTTGTGCCGGTATAAACAACAGCTACACAACAAAATACAAAATAACTCGCAAACAATACTGCCTCTATTCTTAATATGGAGAGGTCTTGGCTCTCACATACAAGTGGATTTGCCAGTGTCTTGATAAATGTTGCCATACGCGTCTAAAATTATGAACAATTCTTATCCGATACCATCTTCTATTGTTATTGCATTGTCGAAAAAGAGACGCGCCCAGTTAAGGTTTTTAACTCTTAACTGAGCGCGCCTCTTGGTTAAATGTTAGTGGGTGTGCGTGGCACTGAGTGTCGCATCACAAATTTATTATTTAGGAGTCATAATAATTGGATTAATTGGACAATCTTCATAAAAGCAAGTAAAATATATTTATAATAAAATATAATATTAAAATTTAACGTTAAATGAGGGAATACCGAAGGTCGGTAATAAAAAAAGACCTGCATTATCAATGATTTTTCAGAAAAACAAGTTTTGCGACACTCAGTGCTGCGGCGCGATCGGTTAAAGGTTAAAGTTGCAAACATATTGTATAATGCAAACAGTTTTTTCTATATGCTCAGATTTAAATTAGTAAAGAATTAAGTTTTCCAGATTTTATAGTTTACCATGGGTTATGCAATTTTCTATTTTTTGTTTTTACTGGTAAGGTTCATCCGGTGATACAGCAAGTGTTGAACGGAACGGTGCACGAGGAGGTGATCAATCAACAAGCGCCACAGCAGCAGCAGCAGCAGCAGCAGCAGCAGCAGCAGCAGCAGCAGCAGCAGCAGCAGCAGCAACAACAACAACAACAACAACCGCCGCCACCGCCTCCTGCACAGCAACATCCATATATAGCCGAACCAGCTCCTCAATCTCAGTTTGTACAGGAGGCAGAGCTAAGCAATGGCGAGCAGCCACAACAGCAAAGTGAGAACGAGCCACAGGCACAGACAGAGGAGAGGAATGAACAACCTGAGACAGAAACATTTACTGCATCCGCACAAGAGATCGAACCGGAACATCAGGTATCCAGCGCTACTGTCAACAGCAGCGGACCCAAGACGTATGCTAATTTGGTAAAGTCTTTCCCAAGCGGTCCTACTGGTGCTACTAGTCCTCAAGCTCCTAAATTATCCATGTCTCCGGTAAGTTTCGTTTGGCGTAATGTCATTATCAATATGAAGAAGAGGATGAATAAATTTCTTTTTCTTTACAGCCACCTATGACGAATCTACGTCTGGACGATAGGTCGCCATTACATCCTGCAAATAACGGACCGACGTCTATGTCTGTATCCAATAATGTATCTACAGTTCAACAACAGGCGCATCGAGTGGGCGGAAATCAACCACCGCAACAACAGCAGCATCCTCAGCAGCAACGCGTTCCGAGAGGGGGATTAGTTCAAAGAGGTAAAAAGAACTGGGAACTAGTACAAAGGGGACTAATACAAAGGGGACAAGGTAAAAAAAAAGAAGATAAGATAACTTAGAAGGCAGAATATAAACTTCCATATTTAAAGTAATATGGAAATGAGCCCTTTTAGCCGCACATTCCTATAAATCTTGATTATTTTTATATTAATTACTTTGTAATTATTTTAATTAGTTAATTCTTCATTTTTTTAAACAGGATTTTGTTTTGCACATAATTACGTGTAATTATCTATCTTAGACGGAGAACGTCGTGGCACAAGACCGGGACAGTACAGTGACGCTCATCAACTTTTCCTAGGCAACTTACCACACAACGCCTCTGAAAATGATTTGCGTCAAGTATTCGAACGTTATGGTAGAGTTGCTGAGTTACGCGTGCACAGTAAATCGAATGACAGATGTAAACCGCAAGGAAATAATACCGCTCGAGTACCTAATTATGGATTTATCACATTCGAGGATCAACAGGTTGTGACCAAGGTGTTAAATTCCTTGGTAAGTTTGCCTCTTAGATATACATATATATCGTCTCGTTTAATAGAAATAGAACTTGTTGCTTTTATTATGATCATTTCAGCCCATTTATTACCCTGACGAGAGTGGACAAAAATTGAACGTGGAGGAAAAGAAGGTGAGACCCAGGCCCATGTTGGATGGTAGTGGTGGCAGATTGAACTCCGGCGATGGTGGCATGCGCTCCATGGGTGGTCAACAGCAGCAACAGCAACAGCAACGTGGACCAGGTAATTTCCAGATTATTCTTCTTCAATTTATTAATTTTCTTAGTAAAATTTTTTTATTTACCAATTCATTATTGACTTAATTCAGGCGGACCCGGAGGCGTAATGAGAGGTGGACAGCACGGTGCACGAGGTGGCCGTGGAGGTTTTTCACGAGGCGGTGACGGCGGTAGGGGTGGCGGTATGCGACAGCCAGGCAATCCGAGTAATCCCGGTTACCAAAATCGTCGCTAATACCGGCCATACTACACAACAGCCTCCCTCTAATTTCGTCTATACTGAATAAAGTCACCGGTACCATCACTCATCTGCCATCTTCATTTCAAGAAGCGGACTCCAGGACTATTTCATATGTCGCACGACCTCATCACTGACGCCAATCTCATGCTTAAACGTCGCTTGCAACGTTTGTCAAGCAACAGCAACAACCGATATTAGCTGACGTAGCTCAAAAAAGAATCGTACGAAATATGAGCTCGAACATGGATGGCGTGCCAATCGAAATCTTGACCGAGGATCACTTCTCACGCGAGACTTTGAGCTTAGTGGTGCGTGTATCTGAAATCATCGGTCAGGCGATGATCATTGGTTCGAATTCGTCCTTCGTACATCGACAATCGGGCAATTCCGTAGGACTTTGCGACGCGAAGTATTCACACGCAATCATAGACACACATACACGTGCAACCGTGCGATAAGAAGAGCATACAGAGAACGTTGTCGGAGTGTGGCAAATTTTAGTGCAAACGGAAAAAGGCAACGGAACGTGATCTGAAATCGGGGAAATTGTGTCGGAACTCTTTGTGAGGCGGTTTCAGAGTAGTGCGCAACATTCGTCACTCCGCGCGTTTCCTCCAGCTCGCCAAATCGCAGGACGAAAAGGCAGCGGAGCGAATTCCGATGCACACACACACACACACACCACGTAACTAAGCGAGGGGCGACCAAGCGAGAGCGAAGCGAATGAAGGAGTGTCGCTGTGACATGCATAAATCTCGTACGCTTTTGAGTCGACTCATCAACCGCTAACGAAAACGTCCCGTTGCCCTAAGTGAAGAATCAGCGTAGATAAAAATCGCACGGAACAAATCCCGACGAAACGACTACAGGATTCCAAGACTGTGTCCCGGTTGCACGCGACAGAAAAAAAAATAAAAGGCGACAGTTTCTTTTCTTCTACGATCTTCTCCTTTATTTATATTGCCGATCATCGATTGATCGGTATCGATCGTAGACAGGACAATGCTTTTAAACTGCAGTAACTGGTTTCGCCGTTTTTCCTTGCTCCATCCGCATACAAGTAAACAATCCTGGCCGCGTTTCGTTGCAGTTCGGAACTTTTTGTTCGTGCCTATCTTATTCCTGGTCTTACCTTCCTTCCCTATCCCTTTTCTTCTAGAAACACACCTTTCTGCGCTACTCTCTGTCCTCTCTTCTAGACTCTTTCTATTCTAGCATCTACCTCCCTTTTCCTTCACGTATATACTTATTACTTTCGTTTAGGTAAAGTTAATAAGGATCGCGCACGCGCATGGTCTGACGTTGTATCGCCCGATCGCTAAATTATCAGTTGCATGGCAGCGTTTTCACGAAGGTCAATAATGTCTTCTGGTAATCACAGAATTCGTACTACGCCAAGCATTAAATGTGAGCATTAAAACCATACACACAGTGCGGAAATGCGTCCAACGTAGCGACAGAACATTTTCGTGCTATGTGAGCAATAACTTTTTTGGAATATGACGCACCAATTTCTCTCGGGACAATATTATCTGTTCACATTTTTTTGACGAAGTACATTCATATGTCGTAGACTGCTTAGAGTATGAAGTGAAATAAGAGTTCTAGTCAGCAACGCTCACAAGCAATGCACGAGAAGGATCCTGTGATTATTAGAGATTGGGCGATGCGTCTCTCCTGGCCTATCAGCCTTCATTCCTTTACGAAACTAACGGAATTTTGGAAGCGAATGGTCTGAAATCCGCGCGATATTGTAGTAGAAAGTAACGTCAAGCAAATTTTTAATTTTCCCTTTTTATGTTTTGATGAAGAAAGGACATTAAAAATTTGCATTTGACAATAAGTAGTGAGAAAGAAAAAGAGACCGAGATGAAGAGAGAAAGAGAGAGAGAGAGAGAGAGAGAGTGTGTATATGTGTGTGTGAGAACGAGAGAACATGAGAGAAAGAAAGTTTGTGTTAGTTTGTATTCTTCGTCGTGATCAAGATCATCGTGGAGATTGTTAACGTAGATCACGCACGAGCGCGACTCCACATCCGCAGTAGTTTGTAATTGAAAAGGAAAAAGTAAAAAAAAACTCGTCGCGATGCCCCGCGTCTGGGACACGGCGACCGCGCCTCCTCTTCGGGGGCCCCGCCTCGTTCAACATTACATTTTTTTAAGCATGCACTCTAGGGATTAATATTCGTCATGTAGTATTATACGCGATGTTAGTGTCTCGTTTAACAAGACTTGGGATAGTGACGACATAACGATGACAATGACAGACTGACAAGTGACAATGATATAATGACAATGGCGGCGATGATACGCGGCCGCTCTGACGCAGACGCGGACAAAGGGATAGGTTTCGCGTAGCTGCGATTTGCTTTTTTTCGGAAAGTAGTTAAAAATAAATGAAAAAGGACGAGTAAAACCGACGAGCGTCTTAATATGCGTTCTCGTTGGATATACAATATCTCGCAATTCTTAAGCCTATCTTTCCGTTATAGGTATTATAAAAAAAAAGCGCTACGTAGGAAGTAATGAAGGTTCGACCCATTTTTATCCTACTTCTTTATAAGTTAGTTTAGTAACGCGTGGAAACGTATTTCCGGAATTTTGTCGGTAGTTATCACGTAATTGGCATACTTTAATATTGTTAAAAAAAAGCGAAAAAAAAAAGAAAAATTGATCATTAAATCTGAACAGAAATATACAGGATGGAGCACTCAACTTTATCACTTCTCTCTTCCTTGCGACAGAACGTTGCGTATGTGATTATGAAAGAGAGGATCGCAAAATTAAGATAGGTCACTTTCATATTCCTTTCATTTAATTATAATCATTTTATTCTAATATGAAAATTTTGATCTGCTTGAGCTATTAAACAATCATTTCTAAGAATATTTTTTTTTATATTTTCAAAAAATTATTGTATAGACATATTTATATTTTTACATGACATCCTCTTTAACATCAAGTAAAATATACCAATTGAAGTACGGTGCGATCACGTTATTCGTTACAAATTCTTAACACTTTGACTGAAATTTCACCCGCAATTTCTTGGAAACCATGGCATTCCCATAAAGATTAAGAATCTTACCTCTCTCGCTTCAGTCACGTTTCGAATGACAAATACGAATTAAAATAAGTCATTCGTACATATAAGTGCCATAATTCCCAAGAAAACTGAGTATCATGCACATAACTGTAAAATATAGCAGTCAAAGTGTTAAAGAAGAAATTAAACTTGAATATAGTATGGTGATATTAGATACAATTCATGCTCGGTTAAGGTAAAATTTTTGCAGTGATCTGCACTTTGTTTAGCAAATATATTTATCGCTTTAAACGAGGTTCAAATTAATACTGCAATGGTAAAATGTTTCTCTTTTCACGGTATGTGAGAGATAAATGTGACGCTAGAGAGATTTTGAGACATTGAAGCGCCAGCAGCTTCACAACTTTGTATACATATGTAGAGCATATTTAAACGAATATTTGTATGGTTAAGAGAAAATTGTCATTCTAGATCTTCTTGTACATTAAACGGTAAACCGTCTCCATCATTTTTATCCCAACTTAAGATCGATTATACATTCGATACTTTATCAGTCAGCGCAATCGTGCAGACATAGAGAGAAAGAGAGAGAGAGAGAAAGAGTATTTTAAGCTGAGCGACATAGTTGTTTAATATTTGAAATCGCAAATTGACTTCCGATTTTCGCGTGCCACCTAATATAAAATATTACACATCATACGCGCGCCCGTTTGACTTCACTACGTCCTTATCCATGTGCATATCCGTGTGTTCAAGTACAACGTGTTCAAAGCCGCAGTTACGCGAGATCATCGCTTTACATAACTTGAAAGAGAGCTCTGCAAATTTTTAATGTGAATGTTTTCGTTTTTAAGTAACTATTAATATTAATAATAAAGATAAATATATAATAACGAACGAAGAAAAGAGAGAGGATATGAAGAAAACACAAATAACTGTAATAACTAAAGGACGGCGGTTATGAATTTTTGTAGTATACATTATTATTTTGGTCTGCCAGGCCAGTTTGTGTGTATAACCAATTGAAACGTTACTGCGATAAAAGACGGATGAGAGAATAATGTTAAAGGAGAAAAAAAAAGTGAAAAAAACGAACATCAAATGTATTGTAACTTTTTGCATTTAGTATAATATATATATATACTTACCTTATACTACCAACCCCTATTATAGCATCTCTTTATTTATCACAACACGCTTACCTGTTTGGTATGAACTTTATTAGCTGGTCTCGCGCATAGAGTCACGTTTCCTCTATAATCGGCTTTGCCGAAACTGCTGAGCACTCTGTGAATTCATCAGCATTTGATGGCGGTTGAGAATAAAATGTACGACGAAAATAATGTCGATATTATCAACACAGAATTTCTAATTTTCCATAAAATACAAATCTTGGCAAAAACAAATACTATACAGATTTTTCATTTTTTTCTTTATTTTATTAATTTTTTTAACCGACTGTCGATTGTGATGTATTGGAACTGTGATTAAAAATGCATTCCCCCTATGATTCTTCATTTTTCGTTACATTTTAATTATTTTCCTAACTTCAATTAAAATATCTACTCTCTGAATTCTTTAGTGTGGAATTTTATTCTAAAGAAAATTGAGCCAGTTTTGATTCACTCTCGAAAAGTTTTAGAGTACCATATTATTTTCAGAGCAAACTTATAACTAGGACAAGTTACAGATTGACTATGATATTAAGATTCATTATATTTGCTCGGACTGACACCATCCTTAAAGTGTTTTTTATCTGAATTTTTGCAAGTTATCCGAGTAAAACCCTTCGAGGGTGCCAATGTCGAAATTCGTCGAGACGAATGAGAACGTTTGAGATATCGTCGAGGTGATCGGTTGCGTGTATTGCGTAAGAATGTGACTGCGGGGCATACGCATACGACGGGAAGATCAGATGAGGGTGTAGGAAGAGAGAAAAACGCAAGAGATGAGATCATCTCTCCTCTCTGGCCGCGCGTTCCGCTCGGCGCGGCGCGGCACCGCGCCGCAATGTGCCTCGCGAACGCAGTCTGTACCGGTCCAGCGACCGATTTGGAGGGCTGTTCTTTTCTCAATCTTTCTTGCTGAAGAAGAGAAGGACAGAAGCGGTTTGCGAAGAAAGCCAACGCGAGGTACGGTAACCTTATAATTTTTCATTTTACTGCCTTGCCAAAATATTTTAAAAACTATAGTTTCTACGTTTAAAATATTTCCGAACACTATTCACTATTTTTATCGATTAATGTAATATATAATATAGTCCATTCAATTATCTATCCAATATATAGATCGTTATATTGTAGAAAACTGATTATGTTAACTATTAAAATATCTTGTGCGTCTTATTAATCTTAATACGTTTTAAAAGTATATTAATATTCCACACACACACACTAAAATAATTAAAATAATTAATCTAAATAAATTACATTTTTTTAAGAGCATATACGAGTTTATCATTTAATGTAGATTATAAGTATATATTATTCCTAAATAATAATAATGTTAACTTTTTTTAACACTTCTAATTTATACATTAAATTTTTTTAATTTAGTAGTAAAATTATTTTTTAGACGTTTATGTACGAATGAAGAATGATATTGTATTGTAGAATAAGCAAGTACCTGAATGTGTCTGAGTTGCGAAATGTATAATCACATAGGTATGGAAATAAAGAGACTGCCACTAGGTAGCTGGCAATCAGAATTCAAACATGAAAAGGGCCTTTATCGAAAAATCTCTTCATGAATGATTCTAGCGATTCTCTTATTTTAACGAAATTCCTTGAGCTTCTTGTAATAGAACTAGTTTCTGCCTCTCGAAGTTTACATCAATTTTTATCGTCAGATTGAAAGTGTCTTCATAGCTTGAGTAAAATAACTGAAGAAGATAAAAGTGATGTACTCCAAATAAAATTACCGCGATAAAAGTGTCTTAACCATATTAATTTTCACACACAGTGATTAATGTGAGTCACTTGCACACGAAGAACTGCATACGATAGACGTTTTATATCAGTGGGCGTACTCACAACTATAATACTTATCTCTTGTCATGTATTTCTCGGAAATCGTGTCCTTTCTGGAACGGAAATCTAACATCCTTTGTTCATTGAAGTGCAAATTAAGGAAAAGATGTGCCATTACATCTTACTATCATTTACTATAAATTCTCGCATTACGTTTAAAGTTACATTACGTTGTATCGGTTATTGTAATACCACAAAGTTATGAATAGAAAAGAAATTGCAACGAGTAACGTAAATTATAGGTTTGTTTTTATTCCTACACTAGAACTTTCTTTCTCGTTTTCGCCAAAAATCAAATATATCTATTTCAATTAAGTTCCAAAAATGTACCCTATATGGTTTAGCTGTAGAAAGCAGACTTTAAAAGTACGAAATTCATAATTTTCTATTAGATGTAGACTTAAAATAGAAGTGATGTCCTGTACTTGTTATTTCCAGTAGACCATTCATTCGACCTCTTCTCATGTCGCCATATTACGCCGCACGATATTCCGAGAGTTCAAGACTAAGATCGATAAGAAGACGCAAATTTATTTTTTAGTACTTTTTCTTCCATAATGAACGCACGCTTACATATAAGCTTACATATAAGAAGAATAAATATATTAAAACATTCTTTGGAAAGCAAGAAAGAATAACGAAAATAGATAAAGAGATTTCTATCTGTGAAAACATTTGCTCGAGCTCTACCTACGTCGTCGTATTACATACAATTTTTACAACAGTCTCTTACGTTCTCCAGTTCTTTTATAATCATTTTACGGATACAGATTTACGAGCAATTTTCCATTAGAATTTATACATATGCGTTCCATACATTTTATTATTCGTAATAATATCAAGTCATGCACATAAACTTCCGCTCGTCGACAAGCAGATTGAATGAGATGAATCGAATCAACGCATTTAACTGGAGTATCTCGTCGGCAAACTAGTTAACTTTTAATTCCGCGTTGGCGGAGCTGGCACATATAGGACTAATATAACGAAGAAACATTCATGATGTTCCCAATTTTATGGGATTAGGCGTTTTATGAACGTAATGACTGATTTAAAGTAAATAGAATATGAAATAAAATGAAATAAAAATAAAATTTTCGCAAGGATGACTCCATCTACATTGTTGTATTTTATTTCGATCGAAAATTCTGTTCCACTTCAAACGGTTAGCCACCTTTTTAACAATAGAAACGCGAGTATTTATTTTATTTTGTTTTATTTTTATATAACACATCCATTTATTCTTTTCAGAAGCTATAACCAAAAGCATTTTAGTATTTGTTTTATTAATTTTAATTTTAATTGATAAAATTCATGATTATTCTGCAGTTATTCACGCGTTGCTTTTTATTTCACTGCGCTTTGAATTGTACCCATTGCTGACTTGCGTATTATTAGATATTGTGTAATTTTGAATGTAATTGTAAAGAACCCGCGCTTATATTGATTAGTCCTTATCAAGTTTTGGACCATGCGATAGATATGTGAACTAGGGATGTGCGATCTTCGGATCGATTCGTCAAAAATCGATTTTTTACAAAAAGACCGCTTCAAAATAATTTTCTTTTGTTAAAAAAAAAAAGAATTCTTTACAAAGAGATCAGTTTAAGGTAGCCCCTTAGTCAGAAAAATTAATTTTTCGCAAAATAGATCGATTTAAGATCGCTATTGTCGTTTGGAAAGATTGATCTTTTAGAGATTGGAACATCTCTAATATACGAACTTCGTTGTTACGTGGAAAGGTAATAAATGAGAGCTGTGGAGGCCTGATTTTTGTTTTATTATAAAGAACCCCACAGTACAAAAGTTGCAGCAACAATGCTGCAACATTGCAACAATATTGCACGTTGCAGCAATATTGCAGCGTTATTGCAGCAATATTGCTGCAAATTCTGTGCTGTACGGGGAATTACATTTTCGTTCCTTTCGTCCACTTGCAGAAGCGTTTCGCCCACGTCGGCGAACCGCGCGATAAAAAACAAGGGGCCATGTGCCGCGATTCCTACGCGCGCGGTTGCGTTGGAGAACCAGCGTTTCCGGAGAAACCGCGCGACGCATCGCGGACGTACTTCGACGTCGACGCGACTCACGTTCTCCATATGGAGAAAACTCGAGACCTTAACACGTTATATATGGAAATCTTTACTCTTCTCTCGTTCAGTTCGGCTGTGCGGTTACGTATTATGTGGCGATCGATATAAAGAATTACGTAATTTTTTGAAATCGTGAATGCTCGATAAGATTAACTTCTCCGAATGTATACTACACGATTGATAATACACGATTACTGATTCATTAGTCGGTTTGGCAACGAAGAGAGCTATGAAAATTAAGCAATTTAAATTGGTAAATTATAAATGCGCAAAACGGACTACGTACACAGTGAGAGAGAAATGTACTAAATTTTAATAAATGTACTAATGTATTTATTTACAGAAGAGAAATATTTGTTAAATAAAAAATAATAATACTTAAATCAAATTAATGGTTCTTGTACTAAATAAATATATGTTTATATTTAGTACATATTCAACTGACACTATTCAAACAAATATTTATTAAAATGTAGTACATTTTTCTCTGAGTGTATTATTATTTTTTTTTTTACTTTATATTTGATCAAATCTTTTTACAGTTCATGTTGGTATGACTATAAAAAGATATTGTTCAGATCTTGAATAGAGATTTGGAAATAGCTATAATATATATATGTATTTAATACAAATATTATATTATACTATAGTATACATATATTATACATATATTATATCAGACGTATTTTTTACTTTATATTAATTTTTGATAAATTTTATCGAAAATTTTATTTAAAAAAATTATCTATGGGACAATTTAATATGAAAATAGATACGTGTTCACATAATGCACAAATATACTCTTTAAAACTTCTAGAATGAATCTCACTCTAAAGAGTGAAATCTCACTCTTAAAGATTGAAAATTGAGACAAGTTTCTTTTTCGAAACTAGCTTAATTTGTTTTCACTCTTTAGAGTGAGATTCCACTCCAAAGAATTTAGAGAGTATACAAACCGCGTTGATTTTGTATCTGATTCCAATTGTTTGTATCACGTGATCCCCATGGTTGGCGAAAAGCGAAGAAATGGCGCATGTTGTCCTCTGAATTCATGAGTTGATCGAAACGTTGACTCAACGAACTGTGAACATCTCATAAATACAATTGGATGGAACACTTGGCAGTAAGCCGAGTAACTGCGTTCATATAACAGGAAACACTCGTGTTTTATTAACCAAGCGCCTATACATAGTATTATTAGGAGAGATATTTATATTCCGTCGATATGTATAGATTGCAAATTTCACACATAACTACTTTTTCCAAGTTCATTCTCACTCTTTTTTATCCTTTAAACGACATATTGATTGTTTAATAAAATATCGAAAATAATATGTATAATCTAAATAAAAAAATTTTGAAATCTTATATCTAGCTTTTCAAGACGAGCTAGTCTTGGAAAAGAATTTCAATCTTTAAGAGATTTCATTCTTTAGTATAAGATTTACTCTAAAAATTTTAGAGAATATATATTTGTACATTGTATGGATCTGTTTTCACTAAATTGTGATCTCATCCAGATAGCACAGAATATTTAAGATAAATATTTATTATTATTCATTTTTTGAAATGTTATAAATATTTTATACGTATTTTATATAAAGCTTTATTCGAAATGTTATTAAAAGATGGACTAAATATTTAATGTAATATTTATGATAAATATAAATAAATATTTCTGTCGAGTATTTCTTATTTGAATTATAATGTCTCATTAAATATTTCCATAGCATTTACTACAAGATATATTTACAATAAATATTTCATAATATTTATAATAAATATTTATGATCTATGCAATTTGAGACCACAAAAATATTTACAAAGTATTTAAAATAAACTTTATAAATGTTTACAAATATTGTATACTGTCTGTGCACAGACAACTTTTTAAAATAAATTTTATCGAAAATTGTTATATTTTGATTTACTTAGCTTTAAAAGAATCTTATAATTATTGATACTTTGATTATCGCATGGATTTTTGTAATCGGTTTTATGACGCCACAATATTATTTTATATCTAACTTTAAAAAGTAAACATAAATTGGTATAATATGACTTAAGGTTTCATGTTTCTAAAATTATTTATGAAATATGTGTGTGTATTCAAATTAATACAAGAGAGGTGAACCTACATAGGACTTACATAAATATATCCAATTGGATGCACATGACGATCAAAGTATATTTGTATTTAAGTAATATTGCGTCTAAATAAAAGTTGCATATTAAACGTGGAGATTACGCGATCATGTAAATCCGTGAGTCTCGAACTCGCACAAATTTCATGGCGTTCAAATTTCACCGCTGACGAAGGCAACAACCGATTGCTGACGTTACATTACATGCTTGCGTCCTTCGTCATTATTAAACGACGCTGCAATTAAGTCGGCGACACGTAAACCGATTGTATCATCCGCGAAAGGCAACGAGAGCGAAGAGACGAGACGCCGCGTGCGAAGAAATAAAGACAGCGTCGTAATGAAGTCATATATATTAAAAGCGCGCTCGTGACTCGTGTCCGGATGTATCCGAAGCGACTTGATTTTCAAATATCTGGGTTATCGCTTCGTTGCTCCTATTAAGGTCTCGCGAGATTTATCTCTGGTCTCTCGCGTTGACCCGCGCTCGCGTTGATCGGTGCCATGCGTGCGTGCGTGCGTGCGTGCGTGCGTATTCGCATTACATCGTCGATTTTTTGAAATAATACGAGTTGATACGAGTGTCGCAAGGAAATGTCATTCGTCTTTCATGCCGATATCAACTGGAAACGCCGCGGCAATAAAGCATTACGCGCGAGAAATGATGGCTGATTTATTTACACGTTCAGACCTGCTTGCACCCGATTTAGCTCAGGGATATTAACCCCTTTCGACGCACCGAGAAACTTGAATCTATTCCGAGAAAAATCTCAACTTTTCTACCAGCTGCTTTCGCGGCGCATACAGAATTCGGGAGCTTTCCAAAGTTTTTTCGATGAATGGCTCCTCGAAGGATAGAATCCGATCGTCAAATAGAGCTCTCGCTCGATTGATAATAATCCGAGTTTCCAGGGTCTTACTTAAGAGGGAAGTAGAGGACGAAAATAGTTTACGTTAAGTCCTCCTTCCTGAATCGTGGTGGTTAATTTGATCAATTACGCGAGCCAAACTTCTCCAGAGCGACTTATGAAGATATGATATATCCTACAATGAATGGGTCGTAGTTTACGAGGCTTGTAAATTGCCAGTAACGGGAACGTGTCTGAAATCATAAAGATACTACTGCACTCTGGATGCTATCAAACTTCGTTAAGATTGAGATCATTCTACTTTAGATCGATTATTTTAAAAGGAAGGCGTCTTGCATATACTCATCATTGATTTATCACAGGGATCGCAATGTCGATGAAGTTGCAGCTGCTGTTGGTCGCGTTGCTGGTGGCGGTTCTAATAGTGGACGTGTCATCTGCTCAGGTATTATTATCTTTTAATGATACATATCGCGATATAATTTTTTCGATCTTAAAATCGTTATACTCAAAATTATCCTAACCAAACGAGAGAAATCTACATAATAAAAAATATTTAAAAAAATTGTTTAACTAGAAGAATTAAACTACTCTTAATAAATATATGTTTGAATAGTTTTAAGTAAGTATTTACTAAATGTATATAAACAAATATTTATTTTATAGAAATTATATTAATTCGATTTTTTTAACTATCATTTTTTGATTGAATAAATATTTATTACTTAGTATTTTTTATATTTTTTGAAGTATGTTTTTAAGATCTTTAAATTATTTTTAATGCAATAGCGCTCAAAAGTAATTTGTAGGGCTGTTTTTCAAATGTTCGAAATATATGAAGTTTATTTTATTGAGAATAGATATTAGAATACATGATTTTTAACTTTAAGCAAGTAATATGAATTTCCTTTACTTAAAAGTTCTTTCATTTAAAAACTAGGAATTTTATAAAATATTTTTGAGCACTACTGTAAATTAAAGTATAATATTTTTTAATTTAATTCCTTAGATTCCGTCTAAATTTTTTGTTAGCATTTCTCTGTGTGTAAACAATGTAAATGTTACGGTTTAAAACTTTTAAAATAAATTTCATTCCAAAGAGTAAAATTTTACTCTTAAAAATTGAAAATTGAGCTACACTTTCAAGACTAATTCAATTTTCATTTTTTAGAGTAAGTCTCACTTAAAAAAACTTGGAGAGATAAATAATGGTGATAATGCTAAATACAACACGTTTATAGAAAACAGATATGAACTTGAGTAACTCAAATATTGTGCACTACAACGAAAAATTTTCAAAGTTTTCTGTTTCTTGGAAAAGAAATGACAACGCGAGAAGTACGGAAAACTTTCAACAGTATTCTACTCGCTTATTTTCTATCGTTAAAAATATTACAAAGTACGAAGCAGGGAGAAAGAAAATTAATCGAAGTTTATATTAATCGATTCCTAGCGCAGACGAAAATATCGGCGTCGCACGACCACGACAGAGGCACCCGTGCAAGATGAGATCATGAACATGCTGGAAGCTGACGAAATAGCCGAGGAGGCGGCGACGGCGGAGGAGGCTGAGGTCATTCTTGAAAATGGCAGAAACGAGGTTGGATCGAAGCAGCAGCGTTTGCTCCAGGATCCGTGCATGGACAAGCATTGCGGCGCTGGTCGTGTTTGCAAGGTTCGTCGACAAAGCTCTCTTTTATTCATGAATCAATATTAATTACTTTATATTGTTATATATAATATATATATATATGAACAAGGCGATCAATGATGACGTTCCGCGTACAGTTATACACCCAAAAACAAAAAAAAAACAACTAATAAGAAATGACAATTAAAGGCCCATTACGATCTTTAATGCTTAAATAATTCAATGTGAATTTGTACATACTATATATGTATTAATAAATAAAAAAAACTTAAGATTACTTTCTGACATTCATCTACACTGAAAAAAAATCTTCATTTCAAAAAAATATTTCTTTGCTCATATTCAAAAAAATTATTTTCATTTCAAAGAAATAATTTTTTTGTAGAATTGAATTTAATCTTCTCTGTCAAGATTCGATCCATAAATTTCAACGTTTATTTGTTTATTAATATTTATATTTTTGTGGTTTGTCAACTTCTAATAAAATAATGTATGCTTAATGCAATTAAGGCGTTTCTACAAATGTAAATTAACTTTAATTACGATTCAACTTACTTATCATCTTTTTCTGGTTTTAAGAATTAGAAAAATATGAAAAATATGAATAGTTTAAATTAAATCGAGATTAAAATTGATCTACATTGATAGAAATGGACATAAGTGCCGAAGGTGAAAATAAAAGAGATACATAGAGATTGGGTTTGAAATGTGAAATAAGAATTTTGTTCTCTCTTTAAGACAGACAGGAATAAAAAGGAAAGTGAAATTTCTTCGATTTTAGAGTACGGAGGAGGGCACGGCCGAGTGCGTTTGCGTGGAGCTTTGCAACCAGGAGGTCGATCCGCGTCGCAAAGTCTGCAACAACTACAATGAAACCTTCGGCAGTGACTGTGAGGTCTACCAAGCGCGTTGCTTCTGCGACACTGATGACGCCAGGTGCAGAGGTCCCGACTATCAACATGTCCACATCGTATACTATGGCGAGTGCCGACAGATGCCTGTAAGTATCATTCTGTCACAGGTGTGACAGAACGCTCCTTATGCAATAAAACCGTACATTATTTTTACACAATAAATTGTAGTCACACAACATTTTTCCGTCTGTTAACTCGCGTATCTATCTCAGTGATTTCCGACTGAAAACAACTTTAAACTTTTAGAGCTAACTTAGAGGTCTATTGTACTTATTCAATTATAAATTTCTTTGTAAAAAAAGTCGAAAAATTTAATTTTTTTTATGTTCATCTATAAATTCGTATTATTCTTATTATTAAAATATCCTCCAACTGAAAAAAAGATTGACTGCTGCAGCAAATTAGATAGTAAAATATGGCACAGCATTTTTAATTGACTGCTGCATCGAATTAAAAATGCTATGCCATATTCAGTTAATCTTTTCTTTTATTTTTTTATACGAGTTGTTTTGATTTCTTGAAATTAATTAGTGCCTTTTAATTGACATAAATTAAATAGCTCAGAAAACAATTTAAAATGTCTTATAATATGATGTCTAAAAAATGTCTTAAGACGTCTTAGTCTCGATCCACAATCTTGCTTTAAGTTTGTATTTTGAACATATTATTCCCGAGAGGTTTTATATACATATAGAGATTGAGCGTCAGTAAATGTTACATATTTGGTCATCAGCTCTGTAGAGAGTTAAAAATAAATTATTATCAACGATAAAATATGAAAAACATGTATGTTTTCAAAGCGCTTTTCGATTACACGGTACATTTATGTATACACAAAATTCTTTAATGCGCGCAGATGTGTAAGGAAGAGGACATGGCCGACTTTCCCAGGCGAATGCGCGACTGGCTGTTCAACATCATGCGTGATTTGGCAGACCGTCAAGAGTTGTCATCGCATTATCTGAAGATGCAGCGCGAAGCTGAGACCAATCACACTTTACGCTGGACGAACGCAGCTATCTGGAAGTGGTGCGACCTGGACGGCCACCCACATGACCGATCGGTATCTAGGCACGAGCTCTTCCCGATTAAGGCGCCCTTGATGGCCCTCGAACACTGCATCGCGCCCTTCCTCGATTCCTGTGACATCAATAATGATCACAAAATCACGCTGGTTGAATGGGGCAAATGCCTGCAACTTGACGAGGTATCTCTTCCTTTTTCTTACTTTTCTCGAGAATAATTTTTCTTAAGAAATATTAACAGGATATTAATCCTTATATTATACACGATGATTTTCCGAATCTACTGTGCACACGAGATTGGTCATTCATTTTAACAAATATATAAATATTATTAACCCTCAACTTCGCCGGTAAAATCTGGCCACATCCGTGGGGTAGTTCTGTACTCCAAATTTTAATAAGAGGTTTAACTGAAACGCAAATTAAAAAGTTAGTGTTTGTTTGGTCTGATATAATAAATAAATATTCTGAAACTAAAAAATAATTATTTATTACAAACATAATAGAAAATAAAGTTTGTAGGACTCAAATCAAAATAAAGATTTTCTTCTAACTTTCAACAAGGTTAACTTAAGGATATCATTTTATGATAATAACAGTAATCTTAGATTATAATTCAGTTTTATTTCAATCAGTCTACTAATGAACTTTACTAGCAACTTATTGACAAAATCTATAAAGAAAAAAAATCACCATCAACTTTGAAAGGTTAAAAAATAATCTGTTTTGCCTTTAGTAAGAACATACGTTACACATTTGATTATAAATTACAGTCTATGTCTATTCATGCACAACTGACATATAATTCTGAAGAAGTATGGCGGCATTTTAAAAGAAAGATTTAATTTTTGTAAAAAAAAATCTGTTACTTTTTTGTTTATAAAAATTGAATTTTTGTTGTAAAAACTTAATTCTAGTTCATGCCATGCGCAAAAGTGTTAGGATCAAAAGGAACAAGAAACCAAGATGCTATCTTAATTAATTTTTTAATTATCACTTCCATCAAGTCAAAAAATATAATTTCGAGAAAAACGCGTTTAAAGTTATTTTACTTTCACTTTATTCATATTTACCAATAGTTTCAATGCACTTACGATTATATTCATACAGCAACACCATATGGGGCCATATAATAAACCTTCTTCTTCTTCAAAAAATTCAATAGAATCTTCAAAGACTAGACTACAACCGACATCTATTGGTTTTCTTTGAATTACGACCTGAACAGGATTTACAAACGCTGTTGCGCCGGCAAGTGTTTGGAGGATCCACGCGCCCTTACATATTTGAACTCGTAGTTCCATTAATATTACGAATTTCAAAAAATCCTTTTACAAGAGAGAGAGAGAGAGAGAGAGAGAGAGAGAGAGAGAGAGAGGATATTCTACACACTTGTAGAAATAAAAATCAGCAAAAAAATTGATTTTTGGAAGCCGTCAAAGATGGAAGCCCCCTTAAGGATTAAAATCTTGCAGATTCTTTATACCAATTTTATTTTTATGACACAGAAACTTAGATTTGTCTTCTAGACGTAAATGCGTTATATGTGCATTGCTCAAACTGTTTCGCAAATATTTTGATATAAGATGTGTCATGATTGTATTATATTCTGTGATATATATTTATATAAATATGCATATATTTAACACATGAATACGATTATCGTATGTACATAGAATTTGTAAAATAAGGATTTGTGACTTGTTAATTAACCACAGATATATACATACAAAAAGTAAGATTGGCGATGAAACTATAACGGTAAAATAATCGTTCGTTCTGAATTATAAAATAGTAATATATTTTTTGCTTTTCAGCGACTATGTAAACATGTAATTTTTTACTTTGTATGCAGTTTCTTAATTATATAAATATGGTTTTATATTTAATTTTTTGCGAGCAGCAAACATCTCACAGCTTTACGTTTTGCAAATTATATATTCTTTTGAGAAATGTTACACTATTTATATAACGAAGAAAGAAAAGAGAGATAAAAAAAATGTTTCTCTCCTCTCAGGAAAACAAATGAAAAAAGAATATCTTGGCACGGACTTTTCATTAACATTTTGTGATCAGTATAAAGTTTCTGTATTAACAAACAGAATATTTTTTGTTACAATTGTAAATGCACTGATGAAAACGTTCCGATTAAATCAATAAAAAGGCCCAATAAGAATGGCATTTTAATGAGAATAAAAAGAATTTTTGATCATACTAACATAGGGTTGTCATATTAAAATTTTCAAAAGAGCTTATTAGCCGAAAATTCCGGACATTTCTTCAGCGCAGAATATTATACTTATGACCAATACTCATTATTCATACATAAAATATAAAGAGCATTCAGTCATTTAAGTAACAGCTTATTTGTAGAGAGCCCATTACATTTGTCTTAAATATTATATAGTCTTAAGATATTATAAAGCGGTGTCTATAATGAGATTTTAAGGCGTAAATTTTAAGTTTTAAGCCTTAAAAAATTGACTAATCATAGTCGATTATTTACCTCACGTTAAACTATGACTGGTCAATTTCTTACATAAGGCTTAAAGCTTAAGATTTACGCCTTAAAATCTCATTGTAGATGCCAGAGAGTTATATTATTTTTACCCAGACAGCAAATAATGTTAATAAAATATTTACAAAATATTTTATAAGTAACATTTATTTTTAATATTTCGTAAATATTTTTGTGATCTTATATTGGACAGATCATAAATATTTATTATACTTAAATATTATGAAATATTTATCGCATGTATATTGCAATATGTAAATGTATCCCAGACAGTGCAGAATATTTATGATAAATATTTATGATAAATATTTATTACTATTTATTTTTTGAAATGTCATATAGATATTTTATACATATTTTATATAAAGCTTTATTTGCGCGAAATATTATTAAAAGATAGACTAAATATTTAATGTTATATTTATAAATATATTTATAAATAAAAATTTCTAATAAGTATTTGTTACTTGGATTATAATATCTTATTAGATATTTTTACAGCATTTATTACAACATTTACGATAAATATTTCAAAACATTTATTTATAATAAATGATCTGTGCAATCTAAGACCATAAAAACATTTACAAAATATTTAAAATAAGTCTTATAAATATTTACAAATATTTCGTAAATATTTTATAAATTTTGTGTACTATCAGAGGTGAAAATACTTAATAAGACATTATAATTCAAGTAAAAAATATTTACTAAAGATATTTATTTATATTAATCGTAAATATTATACAAAATACGTAGTCTATATTTCAATAATGTTTTCGAATAAAGCTTACATGAAGTATATATATAAAATGTTTATATAATATTTAAAAAAATAAATAATAAATATTTATGAACATTTATTATAAATATTCTGTGCTATCTGAGTAAGACTTGAATAAAATAACTAAAAATTCTATGTCGGATTCATCAAAACATTATTCTTGTTAAGTCCTTTTGTTAGTATAATCAAGACATTTTTCTCCGTATGATATGAAAGATGCCTAAAGAAATGTTTGAAGAGAGATCAAGCCCATTTTATATTTGACGAAAACATTCAATTAACATTGAATAATTTTCTCAATTGTAATGTCAATAACGATAATAACGATAATAACGACAATTTCAGGACGACATAGAAGACAAATGTGACGAGCTAGCGGAGGCAAACCAGGAGCAATACTAGAGAATTCAAGCCGGGATCTGAAGCTGACTTCGCCGTACCGTTGTGATAGCAAAACTATCGTTTAAGCTATTACCTATTGTTAAAAAATTTTTTGCGAGAGATATACTCTCTTTCAATTAGATCTTGAAAATTTGAATCACATGATATCTTGCTGCCGCAACGTACTGCGCTTGAAAAGTTCAGAAAAGTCAGCATAAGAAGGACAACATTAGCGCGAGCGACGCGGGACGGACGCGAGGCGAGCACAATAGCGGACGGTGCGGCGCGACGAGCGGGATTCGGGAACAGTCGGGGTGGACGCGAAGCGAAGGACGCAGGTGACGCGCAGGGCGGGGTAGGGCAGAGGAACGGAGAGTCGGCGAGAGACGGCGGCTGGGTAAAAATGGCGGGAAAAATCCTCGCCATCGCGCGCGCGCGCGCGCGCGCACGGACGCGCCAGCGCGCAGGTCCCGCGCGCATCGACGAGTCGATACCGCGCGGACGAGAGAGGCATCGTCGTCGATGCTGATACGGCACCCGAGGCCCGCCGACATTGCCGACAATTAACCGACATCAAACAACTCGACGCTCCAACAATACAGGAACTCGGGCGCAGTCATTATCGCCCGAGACGACGGAATTCGCGATCGCGAGCCTCTCACGGCCCGATCCGGCAGGGAGAAATTCGAATTTCCGCGTAATCGAACGCCCTCGCTCGTCGATCCTCTTCGATACTTGGAATCACATGATGCAATTAATTCGAATTTAAAGCGTCAACTGAATGCGATACGTGATTCACGAGTAGACGTAGAAAATTTCCGCTCGGGAACAAACAGAGGAATCTATGGGAAACAATTACGAAAGCAATTTCTATTACGAGCATGAGCATCATTCGGATAATTTGAATTCGAATAATACGAAAGTGTATCTCAATTATGAACGTATAAATGAAAACTTGCTCGGGCTGCGGATAGAAAGGATGCGTCATCCGCCGCTCGAAGAGAGAAGCAGATTCGTTCGTATAATATGTTCGTACAATCGCGAGGCTAAAAATAAACGCAGCAGGGTATTTTATCGACGAACGCGCAGATTCCGAAATGTTTGAATAGCGTCACGGGGGGGTGGATATTTACATCATTACTTGCCATTTCATAATCACTCCATCGAAAATTCGCGAAACGTTCGCTTCGCCGTCCGACAATCAGCCATGTAAAAACTTGGATAAAACATGGAAATTCTTCCTCCGAGAAAGGATATTGCCGGTGTGCTGTATTATCATATCGACATGAAAATGGCCGACTCGTTCGTACTCCTTATAGTATAATTTTTGCAGCCTTGTAGCGCACGATTTTTCTATATGTGACTTTTTGTAATGAAATCACTGCCTTTTTTCGTCAATAAAGAGAAATAATAATAGTATTCGAGTTTTCTTTGTGATGTCATGTAATACACATCTCTCTCTCTCTCTCTCTCTCACACTGCCATTTTTTCGAGCTCATAAATATATTATCTTTCCTTTTCCTGTGTTGTTAGGGTCACATCTGTTTAATTAAACTTTAATTTAATGTTAATTATTACAGAATATTTTACAACAGACGTTTATCATTTTATATTTTTAGATTTATTAAACGTAATTCTTCCGAAACGTATAAATTAAGATATATCTTTAATTAACAAAATATAGCTGTATAAATTAACGTAGGTATATATATTGTTATACAATGATCTTATATTACCGACATATATTTCAACGATAACGTTTCGCAAACATATCGTACCGCGAGGATGCATGATCGAAATACCGTTGTTGAGAAAATACAATTGTTATACGATATTATATTGACTTTACGTGTAAAGAACACGGTAGTTTGTTTACGATGTAATTCCATCTGATGCACAACTGTGAATTTATAATCAATAATTTATACATGCATTAATGTATACATTATTTCGTGCTCTGCTTTTATTATTCCTTCTACATATGCATAAAAATCAAAAATATATCCCAAGCAAAACAAATCATGTTGAAATGACGTTACAATGAATCATAACTAAAAAATAAATTTTAATAATGACATTTTGATGTCACGACAATAAATTGTTCCGCTTGGGATTGTAAAAGAAATTGTTTTGTATATCGCAAAAAAAGAAAGAAAAACACGATGACTGATATATGGAAGGAAAATGAAATGAATTCTAACGTATTTCGTATGCCATATGTTTAACAACGTAGCAAACATAGCAAACATAATACTGATCGCTACATATCTCATTGCAATATATTTAAGATAATTATAGAATCGTCGTCGGTTAGAACATTTGATCTCTTGATAGAATGACACGCGCGAATGCGTTACAACAAACGTATCGTTTTTATGCCTCTGTTTACTTGATTTTTATTCATACGACCCATCGCCGACGAAACGACGAGGCGACGCGACGTATGTATAACATATACATAGAGATATATGTATATATATATATATATACA